TCAACCGACACGATCCGTGACCGCCTGCCCTACACATAGTGTTAGCAAATACGGGTATCTGTGCCAAATCGGAGCATACCTGTCTAGATAACGGACCCCTGATGCTAAGGCTACTATTGTCTTGATAAGGAAGAAAGACTTCTTCAAACTCGATTGGCGCTTTTTCATCCCTGTTAGCTGCAGAGCGATGCCGAAAGTACCTGAAATATCTGGAGCCAGTTCGCTCGACTGTGATGGTTATAGGATCCGAGTCTTCCCCCTCCTTGCAGCATGCCAGCATCACAGAGGAGAACTCGAAAATTCCATCGTAAGGGCCATGGTGGAGGAGTTGCATGGGTAGCCGTATTTGAATACCGTGATTGGTGACAGTGAATGTTTGGAACCGCCCTTCCGCAAGCGCCAACTTGTCTAGTTCTTGTCTTTTAAGGGATTTTCTGAGAGCGGCAATGAAGCTGCTGAAGGTCATCCGCTTTATGTTTGAACAATCCCGAAACAAGCTAGGGTCATCTGCCAGGAAGCTACTGGCCGATTCAAGCTCCCTCGTCAACCCCCAAGCAAATATGCTTTGGTCGTTGACCTTTCGTATAATTTCCAGTTGCAGACGGAGGAACGCGCTCTTCCCCTCTCCATACAACATTGGCATATGCACGCCAAACAGGCCCAATAACGAATACGCCCTATCTTCCTCTCGCGTCGACCTTCGGTCTGCAGCCCAAGACATTATCTGTGCCACACTGGGATTCGCCCAACTGAGACCATGTAAGAAAATATCCTCCGAAATCCGCGTGATGACGCTCAGAGCACGGGCAGAGTCTCGCTTTCCGGAAATGTACTCCCACCGCTGGTTAAAGAAATACAGGTTTTCTGGGGCTATGAGTTCCTGGAGTGTCCACCCACGGGAGAACCATTTGGGCCATCCATTGAACTCGGCAAACTTATCATCGTCGGGTTTGGTGGGGAGGGTTTTGGCGTCTGTGTCATGGAGGTATGCATAGCAGCAGTCAGAATTTGCATACCATGCATACATGGAATTGATGGCCTCCGACAGTTCAGCACTGCTCCGTTTGTCGATGCAGCATGTGTCCACCCATAGCCAATGCAGGCCGTCAGGAAGGGCCTGTCGGCAGCTGTTGTAAATTTTCCTGTACCCACTTCGCCCTTTTATTTCGGATCTGGCAGTGGCACCTATCGTTGTAAGCTTTTCCATCTCCGTATAATGCACCTCTTCTTTTGGTTTACCCCAACAATGAGATAATATAGCATATGCTGTCTCTGCAAGCTCCGGGCCGTTGAACTCCACCAGGAGCTGCGCATCTGGTCTTGCTTTCCCTGCGTGGAATTCGAGAAAGGCCTTTACGTCGATCAGGCGCATGGTATGTCGACCTATCGATATATCAGTACAGACATTGCACACACAGGCCATAGTAGTCTGCGTACGAAATAAGGAAACAAAACGAAAAACACAGCGGTTGGATGGTTTAGGAAGTGAAGCGCCAGGTAGGAGAGGACGATGTGAGGACGGTGCAGTAAATCACAATGGGCCCGGATACACAATATTTAACGTGTCAGAAAACAGGCCCCACGGACGGTAACAGAACAAAGCCGGCATTTACTTACATATTTAGCTCGAGCGCATCATGAACTCCAGAGGCGTCTACCACGGATAGACGCGTCGCTCTTGTCCCGGCCCTGCACTGATGCCGGTTTGGTGACGTGTGACAGGCCTAATTCCCTGCGTTTGGATGGCCATAAATCTCAGGCGCTGAGGGGCTACACAGGCTTCGGTAGCAATGCATTGCCCTGCAGTACCCCTCCGACAGAGGACATCTTCCACAAGTCGATTCTCTTATCAACCATCTCTTGAAGCAAAAGCATGTCCTTCTTTTTTCCTGTTGAGCTTTTCACTTTTCGCAGCGAGCCCCGCGTCGAGAAGTCAGTTCGGAAATCCTTCTCTCACCTGTTCCTTCTTGCACTGCCTATTTGCATGCGATGTTACCATACATCATCGATCTGTCCACATATGTTGGCCAAGATCAGGGAGTGCCGTATTTCCCTTGCCATCCACAGGACCGCGTGAGACTTGGTCACTCGATGATCGATAATCCATGAGTGTTTTACTAAAGTCGCACTTGTAATCCTCAGGAACGATCTCCGGCATCTGTTCGCCCGAAAGTCCGCAACTGTCGAAGTGAGCAAGAACTGCAGATTACTCACCGCTGACGTACACGTACACGCAGCACACATATCATTCACAAAACGACGAACAGTACGCTCTCACGAAAGAAACCGGAGCATCAAAAACGGAGGGAAGGAAAGTACGTCACATTCACGCTACACCCTCCGGGTCTGCACCGAAAAATTCCTGTACCAGCGCTTCCTTTCGTAACTTCAGCAACACCTCTTCCATTTCTGCTCTCGTAGGCAACGTCGGCGGCATCAGCGCTTTAGGGGTGAGGAACGGGATGTACGAAGCAGCCAGCTGAGCGTGTAGCGCCATGGGGGCTCTGTTTGTGTCTTGCACTGAATCAAACGTAGATGTAGGATTGGAGGCAATGGAAACCGTTGAAGGGACAGTTTTGGATCTCTTGGCTTGCGTTCCCTCCGTACCTTCTGTACCTAGGTCACCAGCGTCTACCCCTGCATCTGTATCTGCACCGGAGGACATTTTCCGTTTTGCTTGCGAGGACGAGAGGTCTGGCTGTGGTGAAAGTGTTAACGGCTGGTTTTGTGTCGACGCAGAGGCGCTACGTGGCATTTCCGGTATCGGTTCATTGGGCGGGAGACCCAAAGTATCTCGTACGCGTTTGTACGCTTCTTTCCATTCTGTGTAATAGGCGGTCGTCAATACATCTATGCACGCCCAGAAGACAAGCGTGGAAAGGACACCCACCCGTCTCTTCAACTTTCTGCTCATATGCCAATACCCCATCTGCACCTTGTGTCTCATCCAAGTCACCATAGTACGCCGGTCCCTGGTTCATGAACTTCTTGTAATAAGTGAACGCAGCACTTTCTTCTTCCTCTTCCTTTTTCCTGCTTTGGAAGAGTTCACGGACGCCGGGAAGGTCTTTCGCACGGCCAAAATATCTGTTGGTGTTCATAACGTCAGAATTCCAGCAGTAAAGGGGCGATAGAAGGGTATGGACATACTTGTATCCCTTTGTCCCCGGTACTTCCTTCCCATCGTCATCTAGCATCGCAACATTTCTCCTGTAGTTCGCGCCTCCCAGCGCAATAATTTGATTTTCCCAATGCCTCTTTTCCCTTAATAACTTGTTGATTTCGTCGTTCAGATCTCGTACTTCGTAATCCGTCAACCCGGCTATACCGTCGGTCAGTCACCTGCACTCAAAAGACAGCGACACGCAACATACAATCTTGTATTTTGGATACCTTCCGGCTTATCTCCCTCAAAATTTCTCCCCGCCATCGTTCGCACTCTCGCAAGCTCTTGCACGCGCTCGCCATTTTAGGCCGCCTGTCTGCCCGCGTACCGAGACCGAGTTCGGCGGCTTGCGCCTCGCGGAATCGGTAGAGCATCGACTGAGCTTTTTCTTCATTTCGCGCCTAAAGAGAATGTAACTCGTGTGGGTCCAGAAATAACAAAAAAGACGCACCATGACTTGGAATGATCGTAGTGGATGTCTGTATGTGTGTTGGCGCAGGACAAGATATGTCTTGCTTAGTAAGCGACTAGCCAATATATCTGAGTCTGTACGTATTAGGCTCCTGCTCGGCGCACTACGTCGCAAATGCGGGATGAGTACAAGTGACGATGAGTCGCTGGATTTGACGAGCTACCGCCGTTGTGCTAAGTACACATGGTCTGAGTGTAAGCGCCGGTCTTGCTCCTTACTCGGCTGTTCTCACGTCTGATTCCTAGAGTGCCGGTCTCAAGTCTTCTATCCCCCGCTCTTCACCGTGACGTCGTTTTGAGGACTTTCCTATAACGTATGTATGTACCACGTTTCCCGCGTTCCTGCGGGTCTCAACGTGTTCTCGTGTCAGGCTCTTTTCTACTCCTTCCCTCGTTGATCATACGATCTACGTGCCAGACCGTTTAGCCTTCCCATTTGTTATTTCGTTCCTTGCCTCGTACGCCGACTATTAGTAGGTTGTGCGCGAGATCTGTACTGAATTCCGCCAGGTTGATGTGCCATGCGCCTGATCGACGTCAAGGCCTTTCTCTAGTTTGACGCGGATACAGCTGGGCCGGATACACAGCTTCTGGTGGAATTCAATGGTCCCGATCTCACAGAGGCAGCATATGCCATACTGTCTCATTGTTGGGGTAGACCAAAAGACGAGGTGCAGTATACCGAGATGGAAAGCCTTACGAAGATGGATGTAGCCGCCAGACGTGAGATCCAAGACCGTTATGGGTACCAAAAGATTCGCAACAGTTGCCTGCAAGCCTGTCATAACGGTCTGCATTGGCTTTGGGTGGATACGTGCTGCATTGACAAACGGAGCAGTGCAGAGCTGTCCGAGGCCATCAATTCTATGTATGCGTGGTATGCGAATTCCGACCGCTGCTATGCATACCTCCATGACACCGATGCTAATGCTCTTCCCACCGACCCCGACAACGATAAGTTTGCCGAGACTAATGGATGGCCGAAGTGGTTTTCGCGTGGGTGGACACTCCAGGAACTCATAGCCCCGGAGGACGTTCATTGTTTTAATCGGAACTGGGAATACATTACCCGAAAGCGAAAGTGCCCTCGTGCTCTGAGCACCATCACGCGAATTTCGGTCGATGTATTGGAAAAGGGCCTCAGCTGGTCATACCCCAGTACAGCACAAATTATGTCCTGGGCCGCTGACCGGAGGACGACGAGAGAAGAGGACCGCGCATATTCGTTAATGGGACTGTTTGGCGTGCACATGCCGATGTTGTATGGGGAGGGGAAGAAAGCATTCCTCCGTCTACGGCTGAGATCTAAAAGGCAAGTGTAGATAACACCCGTAAACCTAATAGACCTCCGGTATCTGTTTAGCCCAGAATTAACTCTAAGCAAGATCAAGTAAAACAATTTGGCTCACAGCAATCCAAATTGCATTAATGCCGCTTCAAAACAGTCGGAATCCAACGGAGGTGTATCTAAGAAAACGAAACGTTTTCCATTACGGACACTAGCAAAGGCGCAGATGGTCGTCGTGCAGAAGCTCAGCAAGTCTGCACCCGGTTCTGGTCGTGCCCCAGTCAGCATCTTCATAAACTGCCTGTCATGTGAGCGATGATATAATGCGGACGTTTCACTGTCACCCTACGTTACTCTTTCCAGAATTCGCGGCACCCAAGACACTGTCGGGAGGACGTAAATAGTGCGGCACGGATCCGTTGACTATACATACACGATGATATTATCACTGGGTGTGATGTCTTCGAGCAAAATCCGTGGCAACATCCTCTATGAAGCCGTTAATGCATGCCGTGGCATATCACCACAAACCAGAATGCACCTGCCTACATGACGGTCCCCTGATGTTCGGGTTGATATTGTCTCGGTAAGGAAGAAGGATTGACTTGAACTCGATGGAAAGTGGTTGATTCTCAACCACCGGCAGCTGCCCAAAATACCTAAAACGGTTGGGACCGAACCGCTCGATAGTGATGGTTATAGGGCTCGACTTCTCTCGGGCATCACAGCACGTTAGGATGGCAGCTAAGAACTCTGAACCTCCACAGCAAGATTGGCGTTTCAGAGGGAGCCATATTTGAATACCATGATTGGTGACAGTGAACGTTTGGAACTGCTCTTCCAGAGATACCAGCTTTCGTAATTGCTTCTTTGACAAGTGTTTTTCGAGAGCAGCTATGAAATCGCTAAGATCCATCCGAATTACGCTTGAGCAACCGTGGAAGTCACTGGGGTCTTTGGCCAGGAAGCTGTTGGCCAACCCCCCACTCCTTGACCAGCCCCAGGCAAATATGCTTTGGTCATTGGTCATTTGTATGATTTCCAGGTCCCCAGCCAATGAAGCGCGCAACCTCCGTGTCGTCGTTGACATGTGCGGGGAGGAAGCCATTGATCGGCTACGACTAGTAACAACTGCTTCGGATGAGGACGAACCGGCGTATCACACCCAGACAAGGTATGAACTGATGTACAGGTTTCGCGGGGTTCTCGGAGGGGCTCGCTGCGAGAAGTTTGACAACACTCCAGAGTCAGCGTGGGCCATCGTGGAGGGTCTGGGGGACGAGAAGAAGGTATTTTCAATTCAAAAGAAGATGGTTGATGACGAGGGAGTAACGAGCGGGCTCAAATGGATCGCTGATCTACTCAGTTGGAATAAGCTGACTCCTTTATGACCGATATGTGAATGAATTCCGTTTCCTTGTACGTGTACACAGCTAGTCGATTATTTGCTCGAGTTATACTGCAATACCGGAGCATCGTTCTGAACATCACTGTAAACGCAATCGTTTCGAGGTGAATGCCAGCCTCGTCCCATTTCCAGTCCGGCCCCCTCGATAGCTTACGTGCATCGGGGTCAACGCGTGTTCCCTGGCTCGGCGGTCGGCCGCTTCGTCGATCTTCACTATATTTTTTCCCAACGCCATCCCGAGTCCCTAATCGTGTTTTCTTCGTGTCATCTTTCGATCTTTAACCATGAGGTCAGCTTGTTGTCTGTTACCGACCTAGCATCGTCGACGTCGGTCAGGAAGTCCGTGCAGAGAAAGAAAGACGTCTTCGATGGCAACGATAGCAAAATAAATAAATAAAAGAAGACATACAGCCACATTCTAAGTAACAGGTTCCTATTCGTTTTCTCAATCTCCAACGCCATATCCATCGCGCAGGAAAATAGTCCGCTCCATGGTCCGTTTTCTTGTGTGTGAGCATGAACACAAGTTCCTTCAACCAATGTGTATTTGGGACTGAGTATGTGGCGACGTGGTCGCACTGAACGTGGAATGAGTGGATGAGTGGCGACGAGTCGAGAGGGAACGATTGTCTTCCGTCGAGTCTTTGGTTCGCCTAGGGGAGACCAGTGACGACGCGAGTTGTTATGTTGTCGCTCCGCTGAGTGCTTCGAGATAAGCGCTCGTCTTTCGCGGTTTTTCAATACTTTTACTTCTTGCCTCGTTGATCAAACAGTCGACCCGCTAGACCGTTTAGCTTTTCCATTTGCTATTGCGTTCCTTGCCGCGTACGCCTGCTATTAGTAGCCCGTTGCATGAGATCTGTATTGATCTACCGATAGGTTGATGCACTATGCGCCTGATCGACGCAAAGGCCTTTCTCGAATTCCACGCAGGAAAAGCCAGACGAGACGCGCAGCTGCTGGTGGAGTTCAATGGGCCCGATCTCGCAAATGCAGCATATGCCATATTATCTCATTGCTGGGGTCAACCAAAAGACGAGGTACAGTATACGGAGATGGAAAGTCTTACGAAGACAGATGTCGCCGTCAGACGTGAGATACGAAAGCGCAGTGGATACCAAAAAATTCTCAAGAGCTGCCTGCAAGCCCGTGACGACCGGCTAGATTGGCTTTGGGTGGATACGTGCTGCATCGACAAACGGAGCAGTGCCGAACTCTCCGAGGCTATCAATTCCATGTATGTGTGGTATGCGAATTCCGACCGTTGCTATGCATACCTCCATGACATGGGCGCTAATACTCTTCCCACTAAACCCGACAACAATAAATTCGCCAAGTTCAATGGGTGGCCCAAGTGGTTCTCGCGTGGATGGACACTACAGGAACTCATAGCCCCAGAAGACGTTCATTTTTTTAATCGGAACTGGGAGTTCGTTACCCGAAAGCGAAAGTGCGCTCGTACTCTGAAGGTCATCACGCGGATTTCGGTTGATGCATTGGAGAAGGGCCTCAGTTGGTCCTATCCCAGTGTAGCACAAATTATGTCCTGGGCCGCTGACCGGAGGACGACGAGAGAAGAGGACCGTGCATATTCGTTATTGGGACTGTTTGGCGTATATATGCCATTGTTGTATGGGGAGGGGAAGAACGCGTTCCTCCGTCTGCAGTTGGAAGTCATACGAATGACCAATGACCAAAGCATATTTGCCTGGGGATGGACAAGGAACGCGGGGATGGCCCACAGCTTCCTGGCAAATGACCCCAGCCACTTCCGCGATTGCTCAAGCGTAATCCGGATGTCCCCTAGCGACTTCATGGTTGCCCTCGAAAAGTCTTCTTCAAGGAAATTACGAGAATTGGCATCTGCGGAAGAGAGATTCCAAACATTCACTGTCACTAATCACGGCATTGAAATATGGCTCCCTCTGAAACATGAATCCTGCTCTGGAGATTCAGAGTTCTTCTCTGCGATCCTGGCATGCTGCGACGCCCGGGCCCAGTCGGGCCCTGTAACCATCATTATTGAGCAATTCCGTTCCAACCGCTCTAGATATTTTGGTCGGCCTTCGGTGGCTGAGACTCAAATGATACCAATTGAATTCAAGCCAATCCTTCTCCCTTACCGAGACAATATCAACCTTAACATCAGGGGTCCGTCATCCAAACAGGCATGTTCTGATTTGCCGGGATATTTCATCATGTACTAACATTATCACAGAGCAGGTTCCGGGTTTTGGTCGAAGATATCATACCCAGCGATAGCGTCGTCCTGTATGTACAATCAGCGGATCCCTCTCGTGACATATTCATCCCTTTCATTGACAGCGTCCTGGGTAACACGGGTTCCGGAAGGAGCAACGTAGGTTGATAGTGAACTGTTCACGTTGAATCGTCACTCACATGAGATGTAGTTCATCAATAAACTTACTGGGATACCACCGGAACCGGGTGCAAACTCGCAAGCGACCTGCACGAAAATTGCCGGCGCCTTCGCAAGCGTCCATAACGGAAAACGCTTCGTTTTCATAGATACACCTTCATTGGATGAGTTCGATTTTAAAGCGATAGAACAACTATTGATATTACTGTGAGCCAACTTGCCTACTCGATCTCGCTTAAAGTTAATCTGTACTGAGCAGATACAAGAGATCTATCAGGCTTACAGGTGTCCTCTACACCGTCTGCGCGGCTGACGAATTGGTGCGGGAAGACATAAGCAACTTCCGGTTCGTTCTTGACGTATGCGGGAAGGAAGCTATCGATCGATTGCGACTGGTATCAACCATGTGGGATCAGGTCGGCTCGAAACGTCGCACCATATTGCAGGACCGACTGGAAAATGAGTTTAAGCTCCAAGGAAAGGTCCGCCATGAGAAGTTTGATAACACTCCAGAGTCAGCGTGGGCGATTGTGGAGCGTCTAGGGGACGAAAAGAAAGCGCTTTCACTTCAAAAGAAAATGGTTGATGATAAAACAACCAACTTGCGGAGAAGCTCCAAGCGTAACTAACAAGTTGCAGATCTGCTCTCAATGTAACATTATACTTACCAGCGCTCGTAAACAGATGCTCGTAGATTGTTGTGGAACGGGTTTTGATTCCTGTACGTACACACCACTGGTCATCTATTTGCTTGTACTATATTGTAATGCCGAGCGTCCCGCAGCGCCAGAGAACGGTGCAGGTATGGGTAAGTACGGGCGGCGTGTGTGCATATGCAATTCGCTGCGACCGTCCCCATATACGCAATCATTTCGAAGTGAATGCTAGCTTCACGCGGACTCGCTCGTCGGCACATTGTGCTACCACGTCGATCCTCACACCATGCTATCCCCTAACGCAATCTCAAGCCCTCGATCATGTTCCCTCCGTGTCGTCTTCGGATCTTTGACCACGAGGTCGGCTTGTTGTCTGTTATCGTCGGTTAGGAAGCCCGTTCAAAGAAAAGGAGAGCGACAATAACAAAAAAAAGACGTACAGCCGCATTCTAAGCAACAGTTTCCTATTCGTTTTCTCCATCTCCGAAGCCATCTTCATTGCGCGGGCAAACAACTCCGCTCTATGATCCGTTTTCTTGGCGACAAGGACCTGTGCGTACACGGCGAGAGCTCTCTTCAACCACTAACAGGGCGGTCGCCACAGTGGCGATACATACCTTTCCCCGGCTGTCCACCCTTCCAATGATTCTTCCGCCCTGAATTAACCCAACAACCTCTCTCTCAACTTCCTCAACACTCCACCCCAGGGCCTCTGCCATCCTCTCGAGTCTGACTGTCTCGAATGGCATAAAATAGAGCACGAGCGAGACGTGTCGGATGAGCTTGGTGAGCTCGGGGGTGTGTAGGGAGAGGTGGATGTCTGTGTTGTGCCGGATCTGATTGGGTGTGGGTGGGTGAGTTAGAGGGAGGATGAGAGGAAAGGGGCATACCGAATTCCGTGAGAGGATATCCAACACCGTCTTGAAATCGCTTGCCATGTATGCCTGAACCAACTCTCTTACGTACGGCTCCTGTTCGATGTACGTTGCAAATATAGGGTTGTCAACGAGTTGGGCTTTGACGGACGACCGAGGGAGAGAGGCGAGTGCGCAAAGAGTGCCGTAGATTGCGATGTCGCTAGGTGCAACAAGCTATCGTCGCCGGTGAGGTCGTGGGTGTCGCGGTTATGTGTCGGTTAACCTGCACAGGGGAAACCAAAGGGACGCACCTTTCCAATCCAATCTCCCAATTGTTCTGGAGGGCCGAGTTTAAGGAAGGCAGTCGCAGCTTTATCATACGCACCCGTCCCGAGATGGGATAGTGCTAATACAAACTCAAGTTTGGTCTGTATATGATCTCGATCGGTGGATTTTCTACTTTGGGAAGATTGACTCAATCCGCCTGCCGATCCTGCCATTGACGATGCACTGATGCCTCCTCCGCTGGTCGTGCTGGCTCCAGCTGCTGTGAATCCCTGAGGTACTTGAGACGTGCTAGCGGAAGAAGGGGCTACTGCACTGGCGACTGCGCTGCCTATTGTGAGAGACTCGAGGGCACCTTCGGCCTTGTAAACGTATGAGGGGATGTGTGTGTAGTTACGCTGTTCGATGGCGAGCTGTGCGACGGACAGGGTGTGCATATGTATAAAGATAGCTGGGGTAAGGGGTGAATGGGACATTACCTCAAGTACGGACATGCACATATCAAGGATGTGCTGGCTTGTCGAACAGAATTCGCGAGACTTCGTGTAGTGCTTTAATGCAAGCCCAAATTCGCCCGTCGATCGAAAGAAGTCTCCGAGATCTCTGTGGGCCATCTACAACATCCCCATTGAATCTGCGTCAGCGCAGGGGCGCAAAGCCAGGAGGCACTCACGCGAATGCTCTCCTTGATCATATTATTCGTGTACGTCTTGAGCTCGACCTCGAGCTTCGTTCTCTCCGCCACATTCCGCTTCGTGACCTCTTCTACCCACTCCACATCTACGCTGACT